TTGTTATTTAACCAACACAAAAAAGAAACAATAAAGCAGAGGACTATGTAAAACTTTGGCTGTAAACCAGAGTTCATATAGGACCCTGGGCGGTCAGCCAAAAAGCTCCAGACAAAAGCAACAAGGCTGGTCCAAAAACAGCTCAAACATGGTCTCACAAACATCCAGTCATTTGTAGCAGCATTAGATGGAGTATTTTTAAGAACAGAATAATTGACCTTCAAACTGTTAGTATCATGTAGGAAATTGTGTCTATATTTTCAGTTCCCTCTAATAGTAAAAGACTTCTACCGGAAATTTTTGACTTAGACTAATACAAATTTTAATAACCCACAAGGTAAAATACTTATTATACTTGCAACAAGTTTAACTGGGGAGGAAGGGCCTTTACTCAGCACTGTCAAGTGAACTGAAGTCGCCACTCACCAGCACAAGGTCAAATGGCTGTGGTGCAGATTCGTATATCAGTGTGGAGGGAATATTATTTAGTGTCACTCTTTTTATAAGGTACACTGCTAAAAATCCCTTAGACAGCATCAGCTGTAGATTAACTGTGATGATTGGCTGGAGGCTGTGTCTTGTTGGGTCCTCCACTTCATGAATCAATATGAAGCCAGTGACAAAGAGACCGGTGAATCCTGTGCACTGCCCTTCAGTGACATTCATTCATCACCACCATCACCACCATGTCACCATATAAACCACAGCACCCAAAGGTGACAGAGTGGGTGATGCAAAATTTACATTTGATCACTTTAATTACACATAATTATCCCTTTTGATTGTTATAGTAGCTTCTAGATGAAAGGACTTCATTAAACAAATTAGTTCAAAGAATATGATTTATGATTATATTATCATATTTGTGTTTTGAGTCTGGCATTGTAAGTTTTCTCTCTGGCAGCATGAGCACTGTTTGCCAATATGTGAATCTCAAAGCCTTATAACAGATGCAGGACATGTAAAAGAATAACAATTTAAACAGAAACAGTTCACAAATCGTACACAGTGATCACTCAGGTAACTGCCATTTATGTGCTACTGTTTGGGCATCAGGTCTAACAAGCAGAGCAATAAAACAATCCAGAGGAACCAGTCTCCTCTTCACCTAAAAGCATCTGGGTTATTTTGCATGTGTTTGGCATAAGGTCAAAACTCTGCCCATACAGGCTGTGTACAACAATGACAAGCTGAAACTGTGAACAAAAGAGATAGGTCAGAAATAGGCTGAGGATTCTGAGGGTGGATAGCCTTCTGTTTCAAAATTGGTACCTTAGGCTGCAGGATAGAGGGAAATTAAATTATCTTTGACTATAGGACTGCAAGATTAATCGTTATTCTATCAAAATTGCAATTTTAATAGATGTAATTAGCAAATTGCAAAGGCTGCAGTTTTCTTTTTGTCAATTCTGCTGGATCGGTTTAAAATGTGAACAGAATCATTTTATTAAAACTTAACTCAAAAATGTAACAGCAATCACAATGCTTGTCAGAAAAATCGCAATTAGACAGACCTATCGTGTAAGCTATGTAAAATAGCTGGCAACAAAACTGTATGGGCACTGGACAGTCCAGCGTGAAGAGAGTACACCTCCTCTTCTGAGTTATGTAACTCGGACTAAACCAATGAGCTTCGTTTTAAAGCGCAAGATTTGATGTGTGTCTGAGCAGTGTCTAAGTCTCAAATGAACACAGCTCCTACATGTTCAGAAATACTCACTTAACGTGTGTCCCATGCTAATGAATGTGTTCGCTCAACGTGAGTCCACGGGTCTGACGCCTTGTCTATCACTTGTCTATACGCTCCATCCATAGGCCTACAGTAGTCCTACAGGTACCTTGGCTGTGTGAGGAACAACGCATTGTTGCATACAGTAATGAAAAATATCAGTGCCAAAAATGTAGCAAAACTGCAAAACGGGCCTGATCGATAAAACAACACACATCCCGTAGAGCCACGATTTCAAAATAACAACTCTATTCATTAATATTCATTATGCCGCGAAATGAGTTCGTGATCAATTTCAGAGGTAGAATGATACCAGAAGAACTAGTTGGTTCTTCTAGACCAAAAATAACTATACAATGAAAACTGTACACAAATGAAATATTGAAACTTCCGGTTAGCATTATGAATGGTGACTTTACTTGACGCATTCGCGTGAGCACGCCGGCGGACTGCGGCTCCGACTCGCCGCTTTCACATCAGCGCCTCTGGCTTTGTGATAACAGACTACAGCCTGTAAGCACATACGTATAACAGACTAGAGCCTGTAAATACACACGTATAACAGACTAAAGCCTATAAATACACACGTATAACAGACTAAAGCCTGTAAATACACACGTATAACAGATTAAAGCCTGTAAATACACACGTATAACAGACTAAAGCCTGTAAATACACACGTATAACAGACTACAGTTTGTACGCACACATGTACACATGTGAAATATGAAGTCCTGACGGCCAAAAACTTCTGCTTTATCTCATTAAGCTGTTCGATTTCACTTTCGGCGTTTGGTTCAGACGTGTTGCTGCTACTGTTTTTGGCGTTTACGATTAAAGAAACACCAAACACTGAATACCGGAAGGCTGGGGTCCCGTTAACCAGGAACAGCCAAATGTGTCCGGTTTCATTGGAAAGAGACAAAGCCGTGTCTTACCGATGCCATGGGTCGGTGCGGGCGGGCAGGCGGGCGGCTCCCTCCTCTCTGTCCTAGAGGCTGCTGTGCTGTGGTGAGCTGGAGTCGAGCTCCTCTCTGCCTCCTCCCACCGGCCGCCTCTGATCTGCTGCTGCCGGAGACTCCCGTTAAACAGCCCGGTCCTGCCCGCGCACACGAGGAGAGGCAGTCCTGACTAGTGCTTGTGACTTGTGAGACTTGAGACTTGTGAGGCGTGTCACCGAGGAACGATTAAGATCTTCCCTTTCTAGCTCGTAAAAACGTTAACCTGAATTTATGGATCATGTGGAGATGAAGCGGTCTGTGAACGTCAAGCTCAGTTTATTTAAAAGGCCTCTCTCTAATGAACATTTAGAGCAGCTCTACTGCATGGATCTATTGGTCCACTGTCAATCATCTGTCTGATGATATTAACCTAGGCCTATGAAGCATGGCTTAGATGTCTATAGGCTATAGAAGGCTAGAGGCCTATTCAAGTTCTGGTGATTGCAGTACACTATAGCTATGTAGCCTATTTACATCCAATAGCTTACCAAACAGGCCTACCATAGTAAAGGTGTGATATTCAGTATCAGCAGACCTACATTGTAGCCACACATTTGCGGTGTTTAATTCACCATCACAAAATGCCCGTCATGTGATCAAAAGAGTTAGGTGTGTATGTAGCAGGACAAGTCTAGGAGGTTCAGAGAAAAATCACTGGTATGTATGGTGGACATGTCTCATGTATGTGCAGGTAGGAAACGCTGTGCATGTTAACACTGGGTCTATTACCAGTGTTTATACCAATTTAGACAATTCTTGTCAGAAGTAATCTTAAGTGCATAGCCATGTGAACACTGACCATGTAAAGTACCAGTATTCCTGATTGATGGCAGGGAGGTGCCATTATACTGAGACAATTTCAGGAATGCATTGGAAAAAAATAAAATAAAATATTTGTATAAACACTCAGTTCACTAGACCAGTAGTAGGCCAAGACGGATGGGCGCGCACGCACACACGCGCGCGCACACGCGCACACACACACACACACACACACACACACACACACACACACACACACACACACACACACACACACACACACACACACACACACACACACACACACACACACACACACACACACGTGCACATGCAGAGAGCCATGCCTTCAAATGCCAGCTGACAAAGTCCTGATTTGAAAAAATAAAAGCTTTATCAGTGGTGGCATGTTTATAGACACTGCCCTCTCAGAGGAAGATATAATTAAACAGACTGCATCTTCTCTGCACTGCGCTTTTACTGGCAATATGTTAAGTGGTGATAGTATGCCAGAAAAGGAGTAGTGCAGTGAAGAAAACCACAGTTGACAACATGTCTCATGCAGTTAACTTTGTGTTTCTGCTGAAGGGGACCTGTTGAGATGAAGTGAACCAGCTCATTGGCCCTGGCAACAATTGATCCAAACAGAATATCTTAGTCAGTATTTGAAAGCAGTTGTAACATGGCTTGCTCCTGGTTTATACATGTACAATCACATCTTCACAACTGAAGCACATACCAACAAGGACACATCAAGCCCTTTTGAATTTAAGCGATCCTGATTTTTGATGGAGGATTTGGAAACCAAAAGAGAGGACATCATGCCATGATATTTTAGCTAAATGTAATTGTGAAATAATTAACATAACAATTGCTATGACAAAAACATTTGATTTGAGCACCTTTACTTAAAATGTGAAAACAGATAGGCATAATGCATATGAAAAATTATGCTATCACCATGTCACTGAATCGAGACATGGAGCAATGTGTTCTGTACTAGTTTTGATGCTGCTGTGATTGGTGCAGCTCCTGATTGATTTGAGTCCTGTGGAGAACATGGGTCAAGCAGCTACCTCCAGCTGGCAGCCCATGAAGACTCTGCAGGAGAGCTCATCTTTAATCATTAATATTTTGAGGCATTTGATGATTAAGCTATTGAAGACTTAGGTACATTCCTGAATACAATAAAATAATGAAAAGCAAAACAAAATTAAATAATTTATGTCCATAATAACTGATACAAATTATAAACTCGCAGGGATTAAAAGCAGCAGGTGAATCCCTATAATAACTTTATGTAAACTATTATGAAACCATGTTATGTGCAGAGTTGTTCTCTACTGACCTCTAGAGGAGGCCATGATCAGATACACACAAGCTGCAATGCAGACTTTGGGATGCCCTCATGTGGCCATCCTAGGTATTACTCTGGTGCGTCATCTAAAACTGTTATTTAAATAGAGACAGGACCTAATATATATTAAACACATTTTATATGTTGTGTCAAGTTTTTATTTTTTACACTTTTCTTTCAGAATATTATACAGGTAAACAAGATTTCTGCAAAAGTTAATATATCCACATGTTGCTTTCATAAAAAATAGTTGCTCCACATATAGTCTTTGTGTCCATCAATAGTATAATAAGTCATATTTATAGAGATATTTGTTAAGTCTAGACATTGCTATTGGACAACACAGTGATGCTGAGCTGCTGGAGTGTCAACATACAATTCCAGATACATTTATTTCTTTTTTTTTTAGTTGTGTATAAACAGACCTTTTGGCTGTATGGCAGCTTTAATATGGACAGCAATGAGTTGTGCGAATGCTGAACAAATATAGACTTTTTTTCCATTTCACACAGAAGTAATGCTCATTTCTATTAAGCTGATGATGGCAGGTGCTACCTTTTGTCTGAAATGTTGCATTTGGTTTAAGTTTAGTGAGATTACTCTGCACACTGCTCCTTTATGAAGAAATCACAAACTACTGTGCATGAACAAACCCAGCAAATCCAATGCCAGACCTTGTGCTCACTTGGTCAGTTATTCAAGTCCGTCAATGTTTTTCATAATGAGCTGTGAGAAAAATAATTCATCTGATGAAGTAATTTTTTTTATATTCAATTGCCATTACATTTGTCAGGTGTGAACTGTATTCCTTGAAATACAGATTCGCACAATTACATTTACACAGAGGTTGGAAAATCTGCTGTTTTCATTAGGTTAATAGATATAGTTAATCGGAGGTTTCAAATTATCAGTAATTATTTGGTCTTTTTTTTTGGTGCAAAATCAGCTCTGAGCTTAAACGTGGTTACATATATTTATTGTAATTCTTAATAAAAATGTTAGTGTCAGAACACTGTAATAAAACTATAATGATCTGAAATGAGTCTTTCCACATAAAAACTCTGTTAATGCGAAATATCTAATACTCAATTTAAAAAATACAGTATCTTTACCAACTGTGTAGTCAGTCTTATAGCAGCCGGTCTGAAATGTTGCAGAGTCTCAAAACTTGTCTAAGGCACTCTGCCCAACTTCATTACCACTGATTGCTTTGACACTTAAAAGCAGAAATGATGGTTTGAGTCGACAGTCCCAATAAAATACACACGATTCACACAAACGGTGCAGTCTGCAACCACAGTTTTTGAACCCAGCAAACTACGGCCTCAGAATCATCTAATGTGTGAAACTCATTGTCAATTTGTTCATTTAAAGGTGATCTTATTTACAAATGATGCCGCATATGCATTTATTATATCTATCTCTATTATGGTCTGATGTTCAAGAAAGGTTCAGGCCCACACAGTCAGTTAAGGCAAAGTTCTGTTGATCTTGTCTCCACTTCAAATCCTTCTTTTATAAAATAGACTCCACTTTGTAGATAAAAAACTCCAGGAGTGACTGACAGTTCTGCCACTCCAGTTAAAAAGTTGCTTAAACTTTGCATGTTGCCAACAACTGCACACATTCTTCTTATCCCATTTGTGAAAACATCAATGGTTTTCCAGTTTTAAGGTGGTAGGTGTAAAATCTCTAAAATAATTTAAAGGTGTCATAAATAAAAGGTTCTTTGAAAACATGTCCCCCTCAGTTTGACTTTGAGTAGCCAACTAAAGTAACTTTAGATTAGGTAGTTTGATCTGTAGTTCAAAAGATGTTCTGGTCCACATAGTGCTGTTATCTGCTCAGTGTAGACGTGCCTGACCGCAGTGTGCTGGGCAGCTTGTCTGATCCAGGGATCTTCCAGGGCCCAGGGGAGACTGTGGCCTTTCTACCTGAGGCACTGCTGCTGTGTGTGGTCGTGCTCTTTGGGGGTAGGACTGGACGGCTCTCCCCCAACCCCCTATCCAACTCCCTTGTCTTCTTATGGTCCAGGTCAGTCCCACCGCAATAGTGCTCCATGTTGCTATTACCATTAGTGTGGGGTAACTTGTTCCCTCCTGGAGAGCGTGCAGACTCTCTGTTGTCCTTTACACTTCTTTCCTTTGAACGCCCACGGGTGCTTTTCATCAGTTTTGGCCCCATTCGGCACCCGTCGTCTGCACATTTGTGGGTGGACCTGCCACCCTCTTTCTTGGCCCGGCTGCTCCCTGTGCGTCTGCCCTGGCTGCCAATTGCTTCAGGACTCAGCACTTCAATGGTCTGAGGGCTCTTGGATCGCTCCGGCCTGCTGCAGGTGTCTCGAGGCATGTCCACAGGTGACAGGTAAGGGGGCTCTGGGGCAGGGACCAGATGAGATGGAGGCGATGACATGGAAAGGCTGTCGATGGGCGGGGCTACTTCAGACAGGCTTGGGGAGGCTGTAGGGCGAACATCCCATGGGCCGGCATTGTCTGAAATAAACAAGCACACTTAATAATACTGACATATAGGAATATATCTCCAGAGGTGGGTAGTGGGTAATAAATTAAGGTAGTAATAAATAAAAAATAATAGTTATTTTACTGCTACTAATTTTAGTCATTTTTGCATAAACAGTATAGTATTAACTCTTAAGTCGCTTAACTTTTCGCACATATAAAACTTTCAAATAATTTATCAAAAACTCAAACAGTTGCCTTAAAAAAGAACAACAAGATTCTTCAACAAGATTTTTTCTACAACACATCGGAAGTTATAAATACTTAGATCAAGATTAATCTTAAAGACAACTGGACTACACTACCCACCTCTGCTCACAAAAGCATGCACACATGCCACTGCAAAATAAAATGCAAAATACAAGCAGTATTGCAGCAATCATTCTACAGTCTAAAAGCATTCACAAGAGCAGAACTATAGCAGAGCAGCCCTACTGTTAGACAGCATCAATCGGCCTTCCCATAGCTCTCCTTAAAGCCCAAGCCAATCTAAAACCTTTGGCGGAAAATCGAAAACAGGTTTAATGAAATGGATGATGTGCCCAATAGGGTGATGCCTTAGCAGGAATGAAAAGCTGAGGGGCCAAGAGGCTCTTTCCCATAAGCCCGGAGAGGTCTCTATCCGGGGCAGACACTTCACTGGACGCTTCTCCAAAACTGTGCGTTCTCACGGACTGTTAGCTTCAGTTTCTGCCTCAGTGAGTGCTGGCCCCTGGGCCATCAGTCATTTTCAGTAGGCCAAAGGCAGCGGACACAGTCTGGGCTACGCAAGAAGTGCACTGAGGTCTAATTATAGCAGGACTCCCACACACTACTACAGCAGCATGATACTAAAAATACATTCTGGGTGTATTTCAGCACATTTAATTATAATATCATTATAATTAATTATAGGGCCAAATTTCAAAGTAAAACATACCACATTTTATTTCAAACTTATCTAATTTAATTGCATACATATGCAACTGGTAAAGAACTTGCATTTGTTACTTAGTGGAACAATTTACAAATGTGTGTTTTCCACATTGTTTTATACTGCTTATAATAAATAAAATACTTGCTCTTTTTGAGCAATATGCATTTCTTTGTTTGTTAATACTTGCCTTATTTCAATATTCTTATGGCCTTGTATAATTAAAATTGTTACACAGTAAATGCTTCAAACTTGTGCTTGGCATACCGAGAGCATATATCAAACGTTATCACCGCTCTCAAGGAAGCATGACAAGGCTGTGCACATAAAGTGATTAAGTCCTTGGCTGGAAAGAGCTGGCACAAAACAGTAAGCTAGGCAAATAAAATCACACTCAATTTCCTGTAGTTTACAACTGCGGACTTCCACTCAAACTACTTTGTAATCAAGTTATCAAAGTAGTGTTCTTCTATAGCACTAGAATAAAAAGATGTTCTTAGTACACACTCTAAGATGTAAACATTTTAATGCAAACATTATACTTAAAAAGAGTGCAGAGAATTGTGCTCTGCTGGTGAATATTTTTTTAAACAAAATGTCTGCAGTTGAAGTATTTATCTATATTTGTTAACGCTGTTTTTCATGCTGCATTTACAGGTCGTCACAACACACCATGCAGGACCACAGTACAGAAACCAGAGCAGACACAAACATGTGACGGTCACAAACCGTGTCTTTAGGGTGGCCCAAAAGGAGGAAATAGGGAGAGCCATGCTTGTCACTTTTCATGCACATGGAGAGACTGGAAGATACCATTCCTATAGAAGGGGAAGTAACAACCTAGAGCAATCAATTAGTGATAGATCACTGAAATGGACAGAAGATAGTTAGTGTTAATCAGAATCAGAAGACACAATATTAGTTCCTTCATTGGGAGACTGAATGCATAAATAATAAACCTAACTATAATATTAATAAAGATACATGCTAGTAGTATGTGTAAAAGGTTAAATGAAATTAGGTTGAAAGAATAATATTTAGTTCAGATTGAAAAGTAGAGGTAATCCTTAAAAACAAACAAACAATATTGTGACCAGTAGCTACCTACCATACTCTGGGACCTGCCCGGTTCCTCGTTTGAGTAACAGACGGACTCTCCTCCCTCCAGACTTGATCAGCTCTATAGCACGCGCGTGTGTCATGTCTCGAGTGGTCTCCCCATTTATCTCTATGATTTGGTCCCCAACCTGGAAAATAAAACAATATGGACCAATAATACTTAATACTGAGGTTGTATTAAGCATATAATTCTATAAATATGTGATGACCTGAAGTCCTAGTTTATGCATTATTGTTTTGGACTGCTGCATTACAACAATCCTCACACTGAACCAGTTGATGCAGGTTGAAATCCTACGGCTACAATAAGGATGAAATATTCTGTAACTTTTTTGAATTGGTTTAAAACTTCATTCATATTCACCTTCAAATACCAAAAGTTCAACAACCAAGAAAGGACTACACCTGCTGTGGACCAAAAGGTTTTGAAAGTGCCAGAACAGTAACCACTAATTGGGAGTCACTGCTAAAAGATTCTGTTATTTTAAAAACTGAGAATCCAAAGTTATTGAAGGTTGACTTTACAAAGATTTGAAAGAGGTAAGGAGGACAATGTGGTAGGTGTCATATGCTCTACCACTCATTTTACTCTCAAATATGCCTGTCAAGATAATTACTATATTGATTTATTGTTCAATATAAGAAAGCTGGAACAATATATTTTGGGGCTCAATATTTATTGTGTGTATAATTTCTTTGCAAAAATGGTGAGATTTTTGCTATTTTTTAATACAATAAGATTTGAACTGTAGAGGTACAGTAAATTTTACCACATGTTTATGTGTTGTGTTTTGGTTTTGAAACCCATTACCCAATCAGAAAGTTGAATAAGCCCTACATTTAGACTTAGACTTAAACTTTATTGATCCACAAGGGAAATTATTTATAACACTGAGCCAAAACGTAAATGGTAATAATAAATTCAAAATAAATAGCAAAAATAGCAAGCAACTGATGTCAAATAAGGCAGAATTATAAAATGTATATAGAAATATAGTAATACAAATATATCTGTTACATACAAGAGGTCGTAAGGAGAAAAATACAAAGATGAAATAATAATTGACAGAATACAGGATTATCTATGACACATGGGTGAGTTGTTGTACAGCTGTATGGAGTATGGTATGAATGTAGTCCTATTATGGCAGTTAAACAGTTCAGTTGTACAGCAGGAGCATGTGTTTTGTATACTACCTTTAAGATAATGAAAAGAAAAGATGAAAATGACAATGTATCGCTGAATTAATTATTCAGAAATGTCCCTCAGTTTTGAACACAGTGGCAGCAATAGAGGAACATTGTGCATCCTAATCCCTATCTCCCCACAGCACCAGTTTGCTTATCACTTTATGCAAATAACAACATTTTCTCATCATTATGTATTTAGCTGTGACCACTACATGACATTAGTGAGGGTCATATGCCAGTCAATGCCACTGGGGCTGACTAATGGGAAGGTTTCACAGGGAACAGAACAAAACGTGCTGACCAATTACGCTAACAAATGGACAGGGCCTGTGGTAATGGCTGGAGTAATTTGAACATCGGGAGGAGACTCCAGTGGAGAGACAGGGAGCCATTTGGTGTCATTACTGTGGTCTGAGGAGAGGTAGAAGGCAGGACAGGCCGCTCATTAATCCTCACCTCCTAACAGCAGAGGAGAACCAGCTCCATCTCATCTCTAATAAAGGGGGGACAAAGTTGAATAGCTGGCACACACTGGGATTTGCCAGACCAAGCTTGAGTTTTTATTGAGGCTTAGAGTTTAGAGTGGTAATTAAATAGGCCCGGTGATTGTCTGTGATTACTTTATACAATTTACTTAAAAGCTTGTACTAGGAAGAGAGCTTGTTATAGTTTACAGGGCATTTGGCTCACATGCCTACTCATAATTTCTCATATCAGCAAGAATCTTTAAACTAAGAGTGAATAAGTAAAACTGAAAAGTTATTGAATGTATTTTATGTTCTTCTCTCAAAAAGAAAACACTCTGTTCCATCTTGTGATGTCATGAAATAAAGTGCTCCACTGAGTTTTTAAACTCCACACAACTTCACAAGAATCATTCATCTTTGGAATTGCCAATCTCTACTGAACAAAAGGTAAAATGTAGCTGTTAACTGTTAACTACTGCTTCATGACATCACAGGTTGGAAAAGAGGACTTTGAGCTTTGGCAATGTAGACAAACTAATAAACTAGAATTACTAAAATATGAATGAAACAGTATACAACTCCAGGTGTGTATTTGAGAAGATAACAACATTCTAACATGACTTAAAGAATCCACTTTGCTTAATATAGAAACTTTAAAACCAAATTAGGTAATTGAGGACAGAGGAGCAACTACATACCATGAGCAGACGTTGCTTTATAACCTTTAAATATTCTACTTTTACTTTAACTGTGTGCAGATTTGTCAAACCCTCTTGACACTTTGTATGTGGACTTTAAGTGGAAAAGAAGAGGGATGCCCTGCTCCTCTCTCCCATATGGTGCAGGGGTCCACTGGACTTTATCATCTCCATCACCAGAGGGAAAAGTAATTCCTCTCCCCAGGGCCGTTTGGCACACATTATCTCTGACAGGTTCATTACAGAAACGCATTGAAGAGCAGGCTCAGGCGATCGGGCTTAAGGACATGCAAATAAAGAAGAAGGGTTGCCGGGTAAATCTAAATTGTCAATGAACAACCTTGTAAAATACTTCACACCGTTGTGAGGCCAGCCAGTGCATGTTTAAATACTCCTCTTTTCTTTACAACACAAGAGTCAAAGTAAATTAGAGTAGAAGTCGCACTATTTTAAACATTTGGATAGTATTAATATTATCTACTCAGTAGTATAGGATACATTACCTCAAAGGTGGATTGTGCAACTTTTCTGATGGAAGATCCATCACCTGCTTGTCTTCATGGAGATGTTATTGCTTTGTCTAGAATGTTCCACAGTAGAGATTAAACCTATCTATCTCAAGGGAGACAACTACGGGCTGCATTACAAGTCAGATCTGTGGAGGCAACCCTATTCACAGAGAGAATTATTGTATTTTTGAGCAACAGAAACTAATTAAGTAATTAATAAATGGTAGATAGATGTGTTTAATGCCATACCATGGAACATTCCAGGCAAAGCAACATCTCCAAGCATGGCCTCCATGGAGACGGACACTCCACCAGAAAAGTTGTGCAGTGCACCTTTAACTTAACATCTATCTAAATTAAAAGTAAATAGGTTGGCACAAATTTTAGAACTGGACATTTACAGTGAAAAGTTGCAGTGGCATCTTCGACAGCATCAGGCAATCAGTGTCCTATGTAATCCACAAAGGTAGAAAGCAGCTTAACCCAGTGTTAAAGGGTCACAACAATACTAGAATCACACATACCCTCATCCTCCCATTTCGGATGGCTGGTCCGTCCTCTGCCAAACGCAGCACAAAAAGGTCCATTTTATACTCCCGGCCACCGCGAATACTGAACCCAAAGCCTTTTACACTTTTCTCCAGCTCCACCGTGAAGAAGTCAAAGTCCTGTGTGAGCTGAAACAGGCGGACAGATGAAATGTTAAAATATAATTGGATAGCTACATAAGTCAAACAAGTCATACCTAACTTATTTAAAAAAATAAAGTAAATACTATATACTATATTTTACAATATAATTTTGGAATCATGTGTAAAAAATTAAAGGGTGTTGTGAATTTGAACATGATAATATGACCTTCAAAAATCCAACTAAACCGGTAATAAAACTGGAATTAAACCTGGACCAGACCTGCACTACACTAGGACAACAGGAACAGCATTCTCTACATGGGGACTAAACTGGACTTAAATCAGAACCAAACCAAAACAAGACTAAACACAAACATAAAGTTGTAATGATGGAACCAAAACTTAAAATAAAATAAATAATAAAAAGTATCCTTCTATTATCGACATGTCAGTAAGATGATGGATTACTGCTATTATTACATACAAGGTCTTGCCCATGCAGGTAGCTCATAATTAGAGACATTTTGTTGTTCCTCTTCTGAATAGTGTTTTCCTTGTTTTGATTTTTTTTCATTATCGCATTAATAATTTCATTGCAAGTCATAATGTTGTGTATCTCACCTGCACTGGAGGCATGCGGTAGTCTGGCATGGCGTACTGCCTGTAGTCAAGCAGTGGAGGGTGCCTGTACTCCAGAGTGGGAGGCTGCCTGTAGTCGGCCACTGGGGGGTGTCGGTAGTCCACGGGGGGCTGCCTGTAGTCTGTGAACGGAGGCTGTCGAATGTCTGGTTTGACATCCTGTCTCGCCTTCACCTCAGATCTGTAACTAAAGTAACAACAGAGACCTTTATACTTCCTGATAAAACATAAGCTCTTTAATGTCTATATGTGCCTTTATCTTGGCTGCTTCAGAACACCATGACCCAGATAAATCACAAACTTAGAAGTGATGCATTCATGCTGATAATGATTTGAGAAGTCTGTGTAGCAAAAAATAGCTAAATAGCAAGTATAATCAAAAACAAAATAATCAACAAACAGCCTTTAACAGAATTATTTTAAGCAAATGTCTATAAAATCTGTCAAAGTGTGTATCCAAACACTGCACCATTATAAGAGTAACTAAGCTTTTGATTTATATTTATGTGAAATTTTCAGTCCTTCAGTCAAAGATAATTTGATGTTGACTGATACATATTTTTCTGTTCCCTAGTGAGACATACTATACACACAAAAAACTGATTTATTTTTAAAATTAATTATAATCACTGGTTCTGAATAATGTATAATGCCCATTTAGAATAAAACTGTTCAAATGAATGGTTGAATGAATTGTTCAATCAATTTTATCAATTAATAACTACTAACGTGGGTATTAGTATTAAAAGTAGAAATAATAGTAGTACTAGCAGTAGTAGTAGAAGAAGTAGTAGAAGTAGCAGCAGCAGTAGTAGTACTAGTAGTATTAGTAGTAATAAGTTACACAACAAATACAGACTGAAGAGAAAGTTTTGGAATGGGGATCCACGGGAGGAAATACAGAGTGTTTTCCCAACAGAGGCATAAGAGAATAGTCTATAAAATGCTCCAGTGCTTCTGAAAATGGAGACAGCTGAAAGTGTACCAGACGCAGTTTAGGCGAAATAAGATGCAGTGATGAGGCCGCCCTTAAATCTGTAAATCTGTAATGCCTTGTACCCACCTGCCCTCATGGGCATAGTTCTGCGGTGGTGGGGCAGGTCTCACAGGACTTTGATGGGGCAGTGGAGTGGACTGGCTGATGCCCTCTGACCCTGGGGTGGGTTGTTGAGTGGTGGGAGTAGTAGTGGTATTTGGTTGGGTTGCAGGGCTGTGTTGCTGGGCTAGAGGACTCTCCTTCTCCGAGCTGGGGGCAGAAGGGGGGTTGCTGATCTCTGTGAGCCAGACAGAAAGACACAGCATGAGGAAATTGAATCACAAATGCTTTTAACCTTTATTAAGGAGGTCAGATCCTGGGTTTATTTTGTAAACAGAGGCTTTTCAAAGACTCTGATTCAAGGTTATTTCATGCATTTACAGATGATGAAGAATTGAGGGTAAAAAATATGAACTAAACCATGTTGTTTTTATGCAGTAGAGGAGGCACTGGAAGCTATAGCTGTGCAATTAATCTATTTTAATCAAGATTGAGATTCAGTCATTTCTAATTGTCAATCATATGCTTGAGTCAATCCTCAGTTCAGACTTAGGAGGAAGAAAAGCAAAAGTCTGTTATTTATGTTCCGGAAAGGACATTAAAAGCCACTGTATTTGACAAAATCAAATCAAATAAAAAATGTTATGGATCAATATCAAGGAAAACAGTCATATGGTCCAGCCCTACTGGAAGCTGTGATACAAATTCATTCCCACTAGTAATTATATGTTATCAAGCATTTCATAATGATAAACAGAGTAGAAGGTATGTCATTTTGCAAGACTTAATTTCCACATCAAATCTGAAAACATCAATTTGCTTGGGAAAATGAAGTGTGACAACAGATATCTCTCAAGTGCCTAAATCGTGTTCATGCATCAGAAAGTATCTAATTATCAATGATGAGTAGTTTACCGAATAGATATTACACACATTAAACTACAATGAGGTTAGTTATCGGCGGCCCAGCATTAAGTATCTATGTTAAATTGAAGTGGTTATGACCAAAGACAGTCATGCTCACTCACATTACTCTCAATTATGAGCAATGAGCAATGCAATCAATGAGCCATGACAATATTTTTTTTTGTCAAAGTGCATATATTTATGTAGGACTCAATAATACATTGCTTTTATTTGTAACATCCAAACATTCAATATATACATAATTTTAGTCTGCAAGTCGTATAGTTTTGTGCTTGTTCAAAGCCTGGATAAAAATACCAGTGGTTGCTTATTGTTTCTTTATTGGATCCCCACAAAATCACATAAAAGTTCTATCACTTCAGTAACTACAATCAGGCAAGTTGAACAAAAAACAGTATCGAATGAACTGAAATGAACCATATCACTGTTCTGCCAATAAACCAAGCAACCCACAAACACAATTAGGCAAATATAACATAATAAAGTAGAACTGCAGGTTTGGTAGGACGGCTAACTTGAGTGATTTTTTAAGTGGAAGCTATAACTCATGTCTCTTGGTAAAACATTACATTTAATAAAGATAATGAAGCTCCATCCATCACTGTTCGAGGCTGAGGCAGTTCACTCTCTCACCTTCCTGTGGTATGATCCGAAGCGTGACGGTCAGGCCCGCGTCTTTGATCAGTTTGACGATTTCTGCGTGCGGCATATTGACAATCGACTGAGAGTTCACAGCCAGGATCCGGTCTCCCACCTTTAACTTCCCACTGCGGTCTGCTGGACTGCCCTCGATGATGCGCCCAATTTTATGCGGCACAGCTGTGGAGATCCAATGCAGGACTCAGTCAGCAGGTGAAAATACAATCACAAGAAGCAGAGGTCTGTCTTTGCTGGTACCACTAGCTCACTGACTATTTCTCTATCATTTTACTGCTCACTCCAGGCTTATGTAAGACTTCCAGGTTTTTTCATGCATGTGTGGGCGAAGTGCTGATGCTTACAGCCGCACACCAGAGATGTTTGTGAGTGACATGCTGTGGGAGGGCATGTATAATTGAGGAGATAAAATGAGAGGTGCTTCAAGTCAAATTGAGCTATGGCCTCTTCTTCTACTTAATTCAGCCTCCTGTTGTGACACTTGTAGATTACCTGCTAGGTTACACATGCACTGTGCTTTGAAACACGACAAAGTAGCTGTAATTGGATCTGAATTGATTTTTTTCTACCAATCCTGAAAATGACATTCTTTAGGTACACATCAAATCTATAAATAGACAGATAGGTAGATAGATAGATTATTGAAAATTCAAAGTTCAGCAGCAGCAATAAAGAAACAAACACAGCAACATAAAAAACATATTTAAGGTTAGTAGTCCATTTTCTTGCATTCATCAGCTATAGGGATGCGGTGTACAGAAGTTGGTTGTGTATCAAATCTATGGTGAAATTTGATGTAGGATGACTTCACACAGACATTATGATAACTGACAGGTAAAGTTGTAGGTGGGATATGTGATAGACAGCGACTCAACTGGAGTCTGTCTATTATAAAACGCCCAGGGCCAAACTGTCATTGAAAGACATGGGTAAATGCTGGTATCCTCAAAACTACAGCTTTAGTGCAGAGTTCCTTGTGAGTAAAAGCTGGACAACAGAATGAAATAGAGAACCCAGTGCAGCTCATATTGCTAAAGAAAGTTTAAGATAGGTCTAAAGAGAAAGTTGTCACCATTATTTTTGTAAGATAATGTATATTTTTTATTCACTCCTGTAAGTCATTAGCCAGGACTAGTTATTGTATTACTCAATTAGTAAGTTCCAGATTCCTGTTTATAGCTACCATTTTAAGTACTACTAACTGTTAATTGTCTGAATTTTTATCTAAAATCCCATGAGGTATGATAGGACGTGTAAATCATGTTTATCTGAAAACAACAAGTCAGAAATCAATTCCATTTTGATATGTTTTACCATAAAATATTTTATGGTAATTATAAATAAACATAACATTTTATTAATAAATATCTGTTTCCTGTTTAATATCACAGAGAGATGTTTCCTTTTGTACGGATTTACATGTTGGAGGAGTGCAAACTGAGTCATTGTGTATTGTATAGTGAAGATGTTTTATTGTATTGACTATTGTTGCATCCTTACTATTGTTACCGAAATGAAGTATTAGTTTTCTTACTGTTAGTGGCTGCTGCCTCAGGTCTATTGAGGGAGCTGATGATGACGAAGCCAAACCCCTCACTCTCCTTCCTGTTGATGATGACATCATGCGGCGGTGAGTTTTGATTGGGCGTCCCATCTGGAGTGGAGCTGAGGCCCGTGGAGGAGTTTGGAGCTTGGATGCTGTTGCCATAAGTGAAGTCACTGTGGGGGGAGCTGTGCTGAGTGGACACAGAGCCGGAGCTACGACCATTCTCCGCACAAGGCTCACCTGAAATAGGGGGAATATATTTACTCCAATAAAACCAGAGGGAATTAAATGAATTTATAAAAAGATCTATTAACAGAAACTCCAGTAATATGAGCTTTAGACAATGTCACTCTAGTTGTTGGTGGAAAAGGTGACATGTAATAGCCTGAGAAGAATCCTAAGATGAACAATTTGAAGCTGACATTTTGCTTTGCCATTACCAATTTAGACACGTAGTGGAGATGTACCACAGACAGTGATGACAACTCTTATAATCTATAATTATTTTCTGTTAGGTCTTCTTTTTCCAGAATGTTTTATGAGATAAAGCTATAATACATTAAAAATTGCTTTACTTTTTAAACATGTAAATGACTTGTGTATAACATCCAATTAAAATGCAACTCTGGATCATCATCACTAAGGAGTAATGGCTATGAATGGTAAAATCAATTTACAAACTAGGTGCAGACATAAATAGGCTGAGAGCATAGTCTGACAGCACACACAAGTGCTGGTGGGAGTCAGACAATTAGGATAAAAGTAAAGGGAGCACATGAAGCCATGCATGAGTCAGGATATAGTCTTAGTTGAGCAGAAAATGGCAGTGCCAATAATTAAGTCACATGCTACCATCTAAGACTGGGGATTATTTTGGCCTTGCAAATGTAAAAGCTTCAGTCCAGGTTTTTCTTGTATATATCCAGTCTTCAGTCCACTGTTAACCTTATGTGTCCAAGTCTATGACAAACAGCACATTCTCATACCCTCACTGAAAATAGACTGATGATAAAGACCTATGTAATGAACATTCAGAAAAGAGTTAAAAGTATACCTGCGGGCTGCACTCTTCTCCTGATGACCATGTTGACCTGTCCATTGCGAGCGGCACCGTGCATCAGGTCAATGACGTATCTGTGTGGCTTCCCCATCACTGGGATCCCGTCTACAAACAGCAGCTCATCACCAGGACGCAAGCGGCCATCCACATCGGCTGGACTCTTCTCGATGATTGCCCCAATTAAAATCTGTTATCAAATGCACATTGTTATAGACAATGAACACTGTTTGATTGTCATATAATCAGTGTGAGCAGGGCTGTTATTATAGCATATTCACAGTACAATAGACATTAATGCAGTCAAATCATCAAAAGCTCAGGGTCAAAAGCTCAGGGTCAAATGCTAGCGGCAGTTAAATAGCATGTATTTTGTTAGAGGCAGAAAATGACAGGGTTTCCACGCCCATCACCATACGAGCCTTCTCACGTGTCTCTGGACTCACAGGCTGTCCCGCCTCCTCCCCGCCCAGCACCCGAAAACCAAACCCAGACTTCTGCCGCCGAAGGTGCACCTCAATGTCCTGGTACTCAACTCCTGAAATGCCACAGATTCATTCACAATTTATGTTTCCCATAACAACAGGGCATTATGTAGTACCTAATTTCTGGTTTACCTGAAGAGTCCATTGTATAAACAGGCTTCGGTTGGGTGGGCTCTAGAAAATAAGAGACATAAAGAAGAACAAATAAACAAATATTTTATATCTGCTGACAATGAACAGAGTTAGAAACAGCCTGAGAAAACACAAGGCCTGAGAACAAGACAAAAAGGTACTGGCTCAGCATTACTGTCACTAGAGAGTATCAGCATCATCTATAAAAGTCGTGAAGTGCTTACAGCATGTAATACACCCGCATTATTTACAGTGTTCGGTGAGATGCACCCACTGATATGCAATCAGGGGGTTCAACAACTTCATGATTTGCAAAGTAGCAAAATGAAGTCAAGCACAGACAAGGTGGCAAATGAGAAATTGATTCCAATTGTATCTCCTTTAATGGCACAGAGTGTTCTGCTGGGATCCAGCGAGAATGATGGGAAAGAAGATCATGGTGTTGATGAGAGAGAAGCGAGAGGCCTCTTCCCACAGAAACTCCATACAGTGCTGTGTCCAGGCAACATTTAAAGATATTATGTTTCAAAGTGTATCTGACAAGTCATCGGCCTTTATATCTGTGGAACTGAAAACTCAATTCCATCTACCATCTCTGTCTTTGTATTCTGAACAACCCAGAACCATACCCATTACAAGTAGCAACAACCAATATGTCATACACAAGGGAATGTGGAAATAATTAAACAGCTCAATTAGACTTAAGAGCAGCAACAAATGAGATAAAAATACAATATACTAAAATAGAGACTTCCTGGCAGCCACAGCTGTTTGAGCACTATAATCAAAAGCAACACATCTGTTTGAACCAAAACATTTATACAAAGTCACAGCACCTTGAATCCTGCGTTTGCTTCAGTCTTGTACTTACGCCTATTCTCATAGATAGACCTGGACTTCTCATAAAGGTCATAGGGGTCAGGTTTGGCCAGCACCAGGGCCTCAGAGGCTGTCTCGGGCACTGAGCCTCTGTGCAGTTGTAGAGGAGGGAAGAAGGGGGTGCTGTGGGAGATAATAGGGGCAGATAGGCTGGTCTGAGCAGGGCTACTCTGGGTCTCCCACTGATCCAGGACCTGCAAAGCACAGCCGGATGAAGAGGTCAAGTCTGCAATACAGCCATACAGCCAAATCTAGCATACTGAATATGGAAAGTGTGTTGCGAAACAGGAATACAGTATAACTAGGTGGTTCATTAAGTTAGTTATTGAGGCATTTGAACAAGACAATACCCTAAACTTACCCCCTTACAAAAGGGTAAGATCTATGGGGCAGCAGAAGACAGAAATAGTGAGACACACTGACAGAGAATGACAAACCACTCACGTTCATCTGTTATAAAGAAAATTCCCCCAGTCAGTCAAGCCCTCAGTCAAGTTTTTACTAGCGGAGAACCCATGGTAACATAGGGATGACTGAAAACATTTAATAAAATTAAACAATATATAAAACAAAACATGTTATAGGAGGTCAAATAAATTGGATTTGCGTGAGAGCCAATTATATACTAGGTTTCACAAACGTGCTGTCACCATGTGAGATGACAGTAACAGTTTTGATGACACCAGTCCGTCAGAGTGGCAGCCTTGATGTGTCAGATAGAGCCGGCTGCCAAAGTCACGACTCGACACGGAGCAGATTCACGAGATGAGAGGCTGACATGTCAAATGACTGAAGAGCTCACCCTGGGAGGGCACAAGCTGCAGGCTGAAACTGGCTGGAAACCTGTTTTAATATTAGTATTTTATATTCAAACATACATAAATATAATCACAATTCCAACTTTATTTTATACGTTTGACTGCATCTGCCAGGCAATCTGTCCTGGACCTGACTGAAAAAAAAATAGCATGGGTACACTGCATTTCATATGAGAAATTTACTAAGCTTTAAGAAGTGTTTGATGGTAATATCCATGTTGTATATTTAAATCTAGGTCATAAAAACTATTTTCCACACACCCTTCCTCTCATATCCCCCTGCTGTCACATTAATGGCAATTAAACCAGTGTTTAACTTTAGAAGGGGCGCAGCCAATGGTCAAATGGGATTATGAAGAGAGCACCAATGCCGTTTAATTGAATGTCCTACAATTAAAATATTGCAGTATAAAAAGACATAAAGGCTAGGGATATTGAACTTTAGGGCCAGATTTGTGTAAAAGCACCTACATTGAGAACAATGAGAACAATAGGTATTTCATGTGGAGTGTAGTGCATTGTTTGTGATCTGGCATGAGGGTAATAGCTCTGTCAATGGGACAGGTCAGGGGCTGGTCAGAGCAGAGCCAGAAGGATGTCCAGCCGTGAAATGGATTACACACAAAGCACACACAAAGCACACACAAAGCACACACAAAGCACACACAGCCAAACACAGCCACACACAACCACGCAGAGAGACAGAGAGTGAGAGACAGAGGCACTGGGGTGTAGGCAAATACACAGTCTGAGTAAATCTGATCTAAGAGAATGTTTTGGTCAGTGAAGTCCCCGGGGCCCAACAGACAAAAGCGGAGCTAAACAGGACTTTAAACAATGGACTTTCAGAGCACTACTGAACAATTATTTGGGTGTAAAGAGTAAAATAGAAATAAAATGAAGGTTAATACAATAACTAGTCATGCTACTGGCCAATAAAGCAACACACAAGCCTTATTTGAAGCATTACTCTTCTCTCTTTACATATTACCAGGTCGGGCTACATGTTATTGGAAATAATTGCGAGATACAATATGGCTAATAAGTACTGTGATTTTAATATACTTTTTTTCACAATTATTTCTATATTAAAACAAAAAATGTACTTGCCTTAATTTACTAGTCAAACGTACAGAATCAAGATTAAATAAATTAAGGCTATTTAAGAGTTAATAATCATAATATCATCATCAGTCTTTTTTTAATGTTTTCATTTAAAAACATTTCTGTAAGATGGGGGACTTAAATGCTTTTGTAATGTATTTATTTTGTTTTTATGTATTTTGCAGTCCTTTGCAGTTACAAACTGTCCTAACTGTTAGAAGAGGCTTGTTGATTTATATTTAAGAGTCATTGGGATAAACATTAATTAAATGAAAGGAGATGCTTTTGGTGTTACTCAAAGGTAGACACGTTGCAGCACTTGAGCTGAATTCATGGGTGACATTGACAGTGAGCGTGAAAACATGAATCAGCTTTGACTTAAATAAGAGGCTTCTCGACTAGATTTGAGAGCCATCTTTGACCTATCCTGATGATGATTTAGAGATACACGTCAAAAGGACTGCACAAAGTATTAGTATGGAAAACAAGACAGCTACCTCTAAAGTTAGTGAAGAATAAACTGCTATTATTTGTAAAGACACTACAGAAGCAGCCACAGAACTACATACTAAGAAGTTAAAAGCAGAAGTTAGGACAGTTTAGTATTTTGGAGGCAGAAGTTGTTACCTGCTTTGGGGTCTTCCAGGGGGAATAGTAACCTGCAGTGTTGAAAAAGCAAAAAGTAATTTCAGACTCGAAACAATTATGAGGTGACAAATGATAACCGGCTTGAACATAAATCAACAGATGAAAAAATGAAACAGATATGTACAAACAAAATGTCAAGGTCAATAACTACAAAAGAGACTAGGAAGAAAGGGTAAATCAATATCTTGAAACCAAATGCCATTTTATTGTATTGTTACTCAAAACCTCCAAATCTATTATGTAATACAAATCCTAACAAATGGCATGATGTATTGCTTATTCCCTTTGCGTGAAGGTGTCTGGATGTAAAGGTTATGATTCACAGAGCTCTCAACACAGGATTTGAGGATGCTTAGGGGGATCACTTTAACTATACCTTACAATAAACAGGCTGTTCTATCGGATACACTGCAGCAAAAAAAGGGCACACATACTGCGCCACAATCTCCTTTATCTTCCAATGACCTTTAGAAACTAAGCCACTTCTGCTGTTTACAGTAAAGTGCTAAGTGACAACGCGCACAAATCAGCTCAGTCCCTGAAAAATGGCGGTTTCATCGAACGCTGGAAATTTATGCTTCAATAAATATAGCCAGGGTGACACAAAAGCATGCAGAGTGACAATGAATCAAAGTTATGTTGTCTCACGCAACCATTAATAAGAAATTCTCAGCAGTACTTACAAGATCAGAGATTCTTAATTGCCTAAATGATATTCAAGATGTTACCATAATATCTATTCACACAAATAAACTTGGGGTGGCAGTGGCTCACAGAACAAAATATCAACCACCTGACCTAAATTTTAATGTAGAATACAAGTGTGACTGTTGATGGTCAGTAGAAATTAAAACTAAGACTATAACTTAGCCCTGTCACAAAAACAAAATTTTAATGCCAATATATTGATAAATACAGGAATAAACGATAATATTGAAACTCACACAAAAAGGGATAATCCCAGTAAAACCATTTTTAAATAGAGAGTATCAGTATGATTAAAAGTCATGAGCTGCAACAAATAAAAAGCAGAATGAGCCAATAATTGGCCACAGAAGTTATTTATTCAGCCCTTTGCAGCTCAAATCTTACCTAAAAATGGTACAAAATAAATTGTACACATCATAAATACTGGATTCCAAAATATATATATACAGCTCATATAGAAGTTGATATAGACTATTACTTCACTATAGTGTGTGAAGTAACAGATGAATAAGATCATGGAAAAGAGAAAGCTGAGAGTAAACTATAATGCCTTTTACTTGGTTTGAACATAAAAAACAAACAAAGAAAAAACATACTGATATTCCGATCGACCTTTATTCTCTTGTTTTTACTCATGCATGCTTAGGATTCACATTATGCAGCAACTGATATTGTATGCCAGTTGGTAACAAAAGCTTTGTGTGAAGTCATTTGTCTAACTCCACCACAGCAGACAGGTGACAGAGAATATAGAATAGAATTAAATAGGTAAACAAACATCAAAGGCTGGGATAAATTCTATTAACTAAACATAATAGTGTATAACAGCACAAGCAGGCTGAAGACTGAGAGATTATAAGTCACAGTTAACATGGAGTAAAGAAGGAGCTGTCCCTGGTGCTGAAAATCTTTATATTGAGAACTAACGGAATCAATGAAGTACGTATTCATCAAGAATTAAGCAACATTTCAACTAAAATCTTAAATGGTCAGACAAGTCATAATAACACTGCATTAAAGGTGCATATGTAAATTTTTGGTAGGGGGTCCATCACCTGCTTGTTTCAATGGATATGTCATTGATCCGTCTAAAATGTTCCACAGTATGTCATTAAACAGCTCTACCTTACATTTAATACATTAAAGAAGTTTTCATAGCTCAAAAATACATAGAAAAACAAGAATTCTGACTGTGAGCAAGGTTGTCTCTCTATAGATCTGATTTGTAAACTGATCTGGTTTAGTCTCCATGAAGATAGAAAGGTTTAATACTATACTGGAAAACATTCAAAACAAAGCAATAACATCTCGATTGAGAAAAGCATTTGATGGACCCTCCACCAGAAAAGTTACACAATGAACCTTTAATTAAAGTATTTTGTTAATCCAGGACATTACGTGTACTTTGAAAGACAAAAGAGGCTGACCTACATTCACACGTTTAAACCTTAAGGGTAACTAAATAGTCTTCTGACGTTGTTGTAAAAACTAAAGAGACAAAAATTTCTATTTAAGGCAAAGACTTGAGAGCTTGTAACATCAATAAAACCACTAAAGGCAACAACTTCTATCTAAACATTTCAAGTAATGTTTCTTCATATTTTAAAAGCAAACTGGTAAACACATAAAACAAATTAAAATCCCTACTTCTATAGTCTTTATTTTAGGTATACCCCTTAGCCCTATTTAGTTTTCATATGATCTGTGCGGGTTGCCCTTCATGCTGCTGTTTTTGGCATCTTTCCTGGGATCCCTTTGGACCAGAGGAGCAGTCATGGCAGGGACAGCTCTGTAACTGTGAACATGCCTAACAGACTGTGATCTATTGGCACAAAGCCAAGATCACCACTCCGCTGCCCTCCTCTTCTCTCCTCCTTTCCTTTTTCCTTTTTCATCTTTGCTTCCAAGTTTTTCCGTCTTGAACAAAACACGCATCCAATGGATCACTGTCTCGTTACACACCGATTCCCCGGGAGGCACAGAGCAGCTTTCTAAATCAAACTCTCTTCTTCAACTGTTCTTTTTTTTCAAAGGAGACCTCCAGCGCTGCCCTCCAGTTATCTGTGTGCAGGCTATTGATTACAGGTCAGTAGTCAAACTCAACAGCGGATTCACAAGGTACAAATTACTGCAAAATGGCTTTATGTAAGTGTTATGCCTCTCGTGCGCTGAGGGAACTGCGAGAAAAGCCGGGTGTGTAGGTGTGTGCAGAACCTGAATCAAACCATGTGGCCACTGCTTTGTGTGAACGCGTGGGCGGGTGCCAGATTGGGTAAAATGCAGCACAAACTACACAGGAATGAGTACACAGGAACAGGTCTACAGACTTGGTGGCTAATGGCAACATGTGTTTTGTGTTTCTACTGGCATGGCACTGACGACACAGCGGTGAATGTGCATCTAGGGGGTAAGTCAATGTAATTTCAAGAATGGCTTAATATCAGAATTAAGCAGAGGTAATGGGGCTCTCTGGTAAATGCTTTTTAAATAGTGCAACAATTACAGATACAATGGGCTTCTAATTACTCACCTACAGTCAAGCTTTTTATCACTATGAAAACTACAGAATTAAAACAATTATGTTGTCTTGATTGGCCTGCAGACTTAAAAAATGAAAGCTTTTCTCTTGTGTCAATGGCAGCAAGTACAAGTTACAAAAAAAATAAAAAGACCAAAGCTACTGGGTGCAAACTGTATTGACACATAAGGTAAAAGTCAGTATTGTATGTTACACCATATATTTGTTTCTCTACACAAACTCATAGAGCACATACAAACAGTATGTGGTTGCTTGAAAGGCCAAGGGAAGTGCATAATTATAAATGAGGATTGGTCTCTGAGCCATCCTCTCTCATATATAATATTTTATGCTGGACACTGGGGTGGGTTGTCATGGAAACGCAAAGATAATAACCTGTGGGAGTTTGGGTTCAGAGGGAGTGGAAATCCCTTTTTATTTTACTACCACACTTCTCAAGTTTGTGCCAGAGAGTCAGAGTCTGGTTTAGTCCTAGTCTGTCCAAATTCCTGAAGTAAAATCTAACTTAATACATGGAGTTTCATCATCATTCACTTCACACAAGGATAAGTCTAACAGCTTTTAAGTTATGAATTGAAAAAGCAACGTGGGTGCATTGATAAACTGCAGTGGTTACACTTGCCAATTTTATATTGATGAAACCTTATGCTATAAACTGTATACGACTTGTTGGCACCGTTTACTCACTCAAGTAGCCTATGTTTATCACCCATTATGTAAATACCCTATGTGTACGTATATATCATCATACCTTTGTTCCTCAGTTTTTTACATTTAATCTTTAAACTCAAAATAGTCCCAAGTAAACATTGAAGAAAATAATTTCCGTTTACCTAGCAAACTGCAGATAAGTAGAGAAGGCTGACAAGGCTTCAAATGACACCTTGTTTGTTTTAGCACATTAGAAATACAAAGTGGTTTCCTGCTGCGGATCACTGCTCTTTGTTTATCAGTATGAAAAATAGCATTTACAAAAAGACATTGCAAAAAGTGACTGCGCCCAATTTCCCCAAGGAGAACATGTCTTTGAACTTAATGAGTCTGTGTTTATGTGCAATTCTTCACAATTCAAATGTGCTATTTTGGGATCATTTTTGACATGCTGAAACTGGCAGCTGGGTGGCACTAGATTTCGCTTTCACCCCGAGGACCCAGAGCTTGTCATGTCAAGGGAAATCGACACATAACAGATGTGAGTGCGCCCTCCAGTGCTGTTGTGTTGAGGGGCTAAGCGGTTCCTTATCTGAAATAATGAGAGAAATATAGCATGTAAATAGGCCTGGCATTTTCCCCATGGGCTGACAGGCTGCTCTTTACATGGCAGCTCTTGTTTGAACCCTCAAACCTCTGCAGAAAAGAAGACAGATGGCACTTCACACTTTGTGCATGAATGGGAAATTATCATGTAGCTGCTGTTCACAAGATTTTGGATGGTTTCCTGAAATAGTTTATAGTGTGTCTATGGATAAAACATATGCAACTGGTTTGGTATTAAATATGAATAATACAGGCTATAGTGTTGGTATTTCTATACTCATCAATTACGCAAAAAAACGTGAAAATAAAGAAAGCATGTACCAAAATCTCAAACTAAAATTTAAAAACAAAGCAGATCAAAGGACATCTTAACACAAACTATAATCTGACAAAATGGACACAACAATGAGCTTCAGCTATCACTGACCTTAAAAGTACCCTGTTCAATAGTTTCTGCCATGTTTTAATAAGACTAGCACAAAACCAGTCTGCTGCTGCTACTAGGCAAATAACAATCTGACCCACAACACCAGAGTGCACTGCATTACTGCTATTGTCAAAGGCTCAGAGAAGCACAGAGGAAAGCCCTTCAGATCCATCTGCAGTGGTTCAAAAACAGCAGAGTTTTACATTTACTAAGAAAAGAATTCAGGCATAGTGAAGTGTTTTCAGTGTGCACTATATAGCTTTTCAGGTGGAGTGTGTCACCATGGTAATGTTATTGCCTAACATGTTCCATTGTAAGGCACTAAACTTATGTATCTCTCTAGAGACAAGCAGGTGATGCCAGCAGGCCAAGTTAGAGGTTAGATCTGTTAAGAAGCATCCTTGCCTCGCTCATAGTAAGAATATATGTTTTTTGAGATATTTTTGTTGCAATAAAATCTGGGAACTGGGAAAAATGCAAGATGTCAATGCCATACTATGAAATATTCCAGGCAAAGCAATAACATCTTCATGAGATTTGCATGTGGCAGATCCTCCACCAGAAAAGTTTCACAGTGCACCTTTTAAAGCATTCAAAAGCAGAATAGAGTTAATTCAACTTAGTAGTGTTATGAATCCTAGTAGTTTCAGCAGTCTATTTTATACTTCTTTTTTCTTTCATGTGTACATTCTACAAATGTACATATTGTCATACAAAAATGTTAAATATCAGTAAAGTCCACAAGAAGCTGGTGACAACAACTGCATAAGAGGATTCTGTGGGATAGAGGTTAAAAACAGTGACAGAAAAGATGAGGATACAGAAAGAGATGCATGAAGAGAAAGAGCTACAGCTGCTGAGCCTGCAGTTCGCCCCCCAGTCGTACCTGCCCCATCAGTCTTACCTGTCCCACCCCTCTGCACCACCAAGCTGGTCTCCGCTCCCACGGCACACTCCTTCAGCAGCTCCACCACCTGCGTGTGTGTGAGTCCCTGTACGGGCTGTTTGTTTATCTCCACTATCAGGTCCCCCTCACACAGCCCGGGACAGCCCTGAGGCTCCAGCACCTGTTTCACCCTCTGCCCCGTTGCACTGTCTGCAATCGTGAACCCAAACCCATCCACGCCTTTCACCATGCTCAGAGTCAGAAGCTCGCCCTGTGTCGGCCCCGAAGACGCCATGGAAACACTGTCCGGAGGTGTGGTACCGGTACCAGCAGGAAGTGACCCGTCCAAATGGGTGTCACCAGGATGCGGGGGTAGGAGCTGTTGGGCGTTCACTTGTTCTTGACTCGGATCTGTCACAAAACGCGCCGTACGGGAAAGATAGTCCAGGTAGTTGTCGTAGGTGGCTCTCCCGTTGACCACTATGGGACGCTGTTCCATGATGCCGAGTGGGGAGATGATGGTCGTGGTGGTGTTGTTGTTGGAGTTAGCGGCGTCCTCTGGGTCATAGGGCAAAGGGTAACCGCGACATAAAACCATGGTAACACTCTGACCAATCGGGACGGACTGGAAAAGTTTGACAACATCTGCATGTGTGGTGCCCAGGACACACATGTCATTGATGTACACAATTACATCACCTAAAAAGAGAGGAAGAATAACACGGTATAAAGAACTTTGAAGAACACAAAATTACAGTCATACATAATTACAAGGTATAACTTTTTCAGGGTACATCATAAAATGTTGCATACCAAATGTAGGCCTTTATGTTATAGTAAAATTGCTGAAAAATACAACTATATTTTACCCCATAACTTACATGTTGCAAGTAGTAACCTTTTAATTTCCCCACACCCATTGATCATATGCAAACAAATACACATAAAAAGGTAAGGAGGAAATCAATATATATCTTGTATACTGGCCTGTCAACAATGCAGTGCCACAGCAAACAAAGTGGCTGTTAAATAAGGATGGATATTTGACATTAATTAAAATTGCTGTCGGGTCCATCCAGCTCAACCACCATATATGAGAATTAGATCGGTTTCATTTGCAGACAGTGAAGCCTCTATATATTACTGCTATTATTAGACAGGGTCATTTCAGGTTTCTCAAGTCCTTTAAGAAAAAAGTGTAATGAGGAAGAGATAATGAATGGTAATAAAATAGGATGTAGTGTATACCCAGAGCTTGATTAAAGAGCTTGGCTTGCTACAATACAATGCAGTACATTATAGTGGCCTGAGGCATTGTGAAGATTACCTCAACAGACATAAAGCATTTTCTTCAGATAAACATGGCCACAGATAGTGCTTTATCTGCTTAAAATACTACCCAAGACAAGAGAGTTTAAGGGTTGACTTATAGGATTCAAAAACCTTTATTTGCTGCTTCCAATAAATTAAGAGGCTGGAGATAGTGTGGCTTTTTGTGAAACACCAAAACACGATAACACCTTATGATAACTACACTTTTAATAGCATGAATAAAGCATGAACTAAGACTTAATTGATAATGAACAAACACTTTATTAAGAATGATTCAGGCAGTACCTACTTTTATATTCCTAAACTCCTAATTAAGTAGTTAGTAAGCCTGAATCATTTCAGTTCATCATCAATTAAGTCTTTGTTCGTGTGTTATTATGGCTATTAAAATGAAAATTTATATAAAAGTTTGTGTATTTCTTACAAAAAAAATCAAGAATCACCCATTATATAGTTGCATAGCCCTCTTCCTTCCATCCATCAAAGACAAAAATGTCATGAACACTGTATAACATCCATCACTATTTTGGCACTGATAAAAATACAAAATATTGCATTTTGTTCAGACACAGCGAGGACTTTCAGAACCAAAGCAGACAAACAACATTACCTGGGTGGATTATGAATGATTATTTTCTAATTGCAGCCACAATAATCACACTCTTTGTTCAGAAGGATGAAGAAACTGTGAAAATGTGTGCACAGCAATGAGTCATGATTTGAAAGTCAAACATGCCTTCACCTTGAAAACCTCACACTGCATCTTAACTTAATCTCAGAAAATATAAAATTATACCAATGCCAATAGCACCGAGGACTCTATTAAATCTCTGTGGTAAACCATATTGATTCTCTGGATTATTTAGTAGATTAACACTGTTGTGATTGACAGCGGTGAAACCCAGATTGAGATATCACCTAAATTTTCAGTTTCAAATAGCAATATCTGAACGTCGTCTGAAGTTTTAACACTCCTGTACTGATCTTGACAAAGTGAGCTCACACCTTGAGGCGATGTGACGTGAGGGACTTTTTAATTAATCTGGGTAAACGGCGTAGACACTAGCCTTGAGCGTTGGTGTCACAATCGATGAGCGAGCACATGAGCAGAAAACAAATGATGGTGTCATGACCTGGAGTCACCCGGCCTGGCCCTCAGCTCTCCCTCTTTCAGACCACAGCGGAAATGGACCACAGCAGCCAGTGACTCAGGAAAACACAGGCCTACTAACGGACTAGCAGAGTGGTTTGCAACTCAGGCTAATTGAGTGGCGTAAGTTTTATTGTGCAATACACTCTGAGGGTGGCACGACTGGACTCTGAACGGACATGGACTCCTTTTTTGAACATCTTGACAGGACTGGAATTGACTGACTACTAATGTTTCTTTGCCAATTTTTTGCATTGTTTTGTGTGTGTGACAAGCGTGGAGAGAGGGCTGGAGTGTGTTTCTTTTTTGTCTATTTTAGTTTACATAAGTATAATAAATAAATTTTATTGCCATTGTGAGTGAACAAAATTCACAAATGAGAAACTTGTTTCAGTGGTATAGTGCTACATAAAACAATAAATAATAATAGAGATAATAATAAGCTACAATAAAATACTTTACAATAGGTTACTGTAGGTTTTCTCTGCATGGGACCAATGGTTTCATCAAACTAACCAATAGGCAAGGCAGGCAAATGCTTGGGGTCCCTAATGAACAGAATTGTCAGAAATTTTCAGTTCAGTTCAGGTCTATTAGTTTCAGTTAACATACGTTTTATTTTAATCAAACATAACTTAAAGTATGACCAAAACAATCAGCAGCAAAATTTTTCTGTACCCAATACTTGCAACCATTTAGATTACGTACAGATTACCTTTTTATACATTATAAACAGGTATTACTGTCTTATTATAGTAGAACGTTTTATTATGAACAGTAGTCTAGTTTGGAGATATTTGCCTACAGTACGTAATAGTAAAATATTTCCTTCAGTTGATTTTATGTACATTTTATTGCTTTTTATGAATGGATAAGTCTTTGCTCTGTGAACTGTCCTTTTGACCATGCTGCTTAGTGAAGTAATACTCCTCTTTTACAAATACATGCTTACTGACAGTTTCACTGCAGCGAATGGTGGGTTCAAGAGCTTCTTCACAAAACAAGTGGCCTCTCTTGTGGGGAGGTCACCGTTACAAAGGTCAACTGAGTCAAACGTTTTGAGAATCACCAAATTGTTTACATAATTCAAGTACAAACTCAACAACAGATATAGCTAAAATCTGCATTAGAGTGTGTAGAGCATTTTCAAATAGCCTCTCAATTGCAGGGATGTCATAGAGGTGACAAGGTTAGGATGGTTTCAAGGGCTCTTGACAGGGGGCCAAAAAATGAACATTTAATTAGTATTTTTTTGTTTCTTTATTAGGAAAATAATTTTTACCTGTCTCTGTGCAGTATTTTGGAAACTGTTTATGAAATATGCTATACAAATAAAGAAGACTCAAAATACATGACAATACTCCTGCTTAATAATTGATTACATATACAAATACAACATTTAAAGGTAGGTAGAGGAAGTTAAAACACATTCTCTCCTTTTGAATTTGGAGCATATTTGAGATGAATGAGTTGCAGAACAGAAGACCATAAAAATGATATAAGACTGTAGATTGGATTTGTCTATGGCGGTCAGATAAACCTCACCTAATTTGCAGAGACTATAAAATAACCCTTTAGGCATAGATCTGAATAATGTAACGTTGAAACCGCATAGTTGTTAAGATTCAGTACAACACATGAGAATAAAACTCCTCAGAACAACTCTATTAATGTGGTATTTAATAACTGTCATGAGCTGCCAGGGTAACCTATTTTATATGTAATAATCTGCCACTATAATCTCATTGTCTGCACCTGCTTCTGCCTCTGCCTCTGCACTGACAAACCCGCTCCACTTCTTTTGACCTTTTAATACAGAAGGACCACTCTAGTATTGTGTGTGTGTGTGTGTGGATCTGATCGTGTGTGCAGTAGTTCACCCCCATGTGACCACAGGGAGGCGTGATCTGGCTTGTAAAGATTAATGGGTTTGAGTCTACAGATGGCTTACATACATGCACACCTGACACAGTGCAAGGATGCCAGGCTGCACCTGCACTCCATACACCAACTGACTATACACAGTGTGTTTCTGTATCAAACTATAATGTATTATATATCTTTTTGCCTATACTAGTATATGCTTTAAAAAGTTATGAGTGGTGTGAATCAACTATGATCCACTGAAGGAATCACAATTATTGAAGTGTGATATATTGCTGGACAAAATATAAAGACAATAAACAATAACACTGAAAAAATGCTACAATGCTGAAAAAAATGCTACAACACCCTAAAACAGGATTAGCCCCCAAAATTATTCTAAACACAATATTGTTTAAAACATACAGCACACAATACAATAATTGGCATAAATAAATATTTTGACAGAGAGTTAGTATCTATAGTGTGTCAAAGAAAGTATTTATTAGTAGTATTTATTCAAATCTATACAGCTCTAATCTTATTGTAGGACAGAAAAAAGTTCTTCCCTAATGCAAAGACAAATTCCTCACAATACATGTTGACATAGGTTGATATACTGATTATCGAGACAGGCCTCTCATTTTCTAAGGAAAATCAAAACTAATAATATTTAAATCAATTAAAATTAGGGCGTGGATGTTCAAGTATACAGAGAAAACCTACAGTTGCAGTATGAAAAGATGCAGACTACCCTAAAAGATTGAATTGACAAGTTTGTATAAAAATCCCACAACCTCCTTAATATAAACCACTGTGCTACCACACATTTTAAATGGTGCCATTTCTGCAGGCATCTATTCTGTCTACAGGACATGCTCCACTATTCACAAGAACATTTGTCTTTTATTTGTCTGCTTGTGTTGGACAGAATCTTGTATTCTGTTGTTCTGTTTTGAGACATACCTGTGGCCATCTTCCCATCAGCTGCAGCAGGCCCATCTGGGATAACACTTTTGACCTGGAGGAATTCGTCTGGCTCGTCGCCTCCAATTATAGTAAATCCAAAGCCCATGTTGCTCTTTTGCAGAGCCGTGGATAAGAAACTGCCCTTCAGCTGAGTGGGGTCCCGGGTGAATGGTGCTTTCTCTATAAACGACACATACAGAAATAAACCTCTTATAGACACCACTTCTGTGAGAAATTGACAAAGGGACCTGCAAAGCTGAGGCAGGGCAGTGCTCAATGGGTGGGACGCGAGGAGAGTCTATCCATTAGGAATAGCCACAGGAAACTGGACAAGAATTAGCTGCACCACTTTATTGCACAGGGGCTGTGAGCTGAGGATGCAGGTGTTGTTTTGGACTGGGTGTAGGTCAGAGGCTATTTTTTCCACATAATCCCTACCACTCATCTTTGGTCTCATGCTGAGATGTGGAGGCCTAATAGAGAAGTGGCAATATCAGCACTTGACAAGCTGGGCTTTAAATAGGAACGCTCAGAGAAACTGGAAAAGAACTGGGGTTTTGGGAAGAAAGGGGCACTGGGACAATTTTGGAGAATGGTTGGCATTTGGACTGCACAGCAGGCAAGCTTGTCAGACTTAACCTTCCAGTAGTTACTTTGAAAATCTTTTGATTGCCATATTACATTGTCACTCATTTAGCTGCTTAAAGGAAAGTTTGCTTAGCAAGCTAGCATGCTTAGATGGTGAGAGGCAACCATGGGACCAACAGTGAGCCTCTTTTGCTTGTCTCTTGGCCTACTTACTGACAAAGTGCCACAGGGACTCGGGGCTAAGCACAGGCTGCTGTAGCAGCACAGTGCAGGCCGAAGTGTGAAGTGGCTCCTGATGAGGACACGTATTCATCCGCCGCGTCAAAACGCGCCGCAGTGGGGAGGAGCTGGCGGAGGAGGACGTGCCAAACGCCGCGGCTCTGCGACCAGCAGCCGGAGAGCGGGGCAGGTCACTGAGGCTATGGCAGCGCTCGTGCACTGTGCCCACCTGAGCCAGGAAAGGTCTGGGCAGAGTGGCAAAGGGGCACACATCCTCCACTGCCATCCACATTCAGAGGAAAGTAGGAGCATGAGAGAGGGAGGAGACAGAGTGTAACCACAAAGACAGCTCTAGCATGTTACTACGGAAACCAACCTCCACTTCACAATCCAGTTTTACCAGCAGTGCATCTGACTGCTACAAAAACAGGGGCATGTGAATGTTTGCAATCAGGTTGTGAGAATCCAATAAAATACAAGTACAACATCGTTCTACTTACTTTTATGCCCATAAACCTAATGAATGCTTATTCCATCACATTCTCATCATGGTTTTATGCATACGTATACATCATATTTAATACATGCACCAGTACACTGACAACATTACAAACAGAGCTCTCTTTTACATATAGAAAGCCCCATCATCTTGAGGGGCTGTTAATCTTACCTCTGTAGATGGTGGGGAGCGGCAGTGAGGACAGACCCTGGCTTTGCATCTGTTGCTGCTGCTGGATTCTTCTTTTAGCCTCCAGAACTGGATTCTCAAACTGGGTTCTTCTATTTATGTGGCTACAGTAAATACATGAATAAATAAAAACTCTATCAGGGAAGGCACTCCATCCAATTAACTACTAACATACAAAGGATCTTAAATCACAGCAGTAAAGCACAAAATACTGTTGGTGATTAATTAAGGACCAGGTCTTATTATCCACACAAACTGTGGAGTAGTTTTGCTGAGTAAAAGGAACAAAAAAATGATATAAGTGGCAGAAGAAACCTGGAGCGGACATTTCCTCTCCATCCTGCACAGTTTCTAAAGTCATTTGCAAAAAGGAAGAGTGCTGTTAGACATAATTTGTGTTAGCAAAATAAGCCCTCATTATATATTTTCTTTGAGCTGCATAGCGCTGCTTCCTCCCCACCTTATCTTTAATCAATGCAGCATCTTCATAACGCTAATTACAAAACGCTAACTACATTGTGCCTGCTTGCATAATGTCAGACTCACTGACCTCTTTAGTGACGACGATGCAAAACAAGACACTGATCAAGTGCTTTTTAGAGTGCAACCAAGTGTCATTCAGAGATATTTCTTGGGCAAAGTCAAGCGAAATGACTCCTGGTCTAAAAATAGTCCCTTTGGCCTAGAGAGGAGCTTATTGAGCCAAAAATATATGACACCTCCAAACAAGGGACACACAGTTCAATAGAGAGGACAGTGACGGGCTACTGCAGAGCTTAATATACAGTGCCACAGTGTAAACCACATCAACTAATCATGAAATAACTACACATATTAGACTTTTTTGTATTAGAACACTTGTGTTTAAAGGTGCACTATGTAACTTTTTGGTTGGGGTTTATCACCTGCTTGTTTCTATGGAAATGCCACTGCTCTGCCTGGAATGTCCCAGAGTATAAAATTAAACAGCTATACTTTAGATGTATTAAATTACAGATGGGCTTTTAACTCAAAAATACTTAGGAAAACAGACACTAACTCTGACAGACTAACAGATCTGACCTGTAACTTGCCCTGGTTTGGTCTCCATGAATATAAAAAGGTTTAATGCCATACTGTAAAACATTTCAGATAAAGCAATCTATGGAAAAAAGCATTTAATGGACCCTCCTCTAGAAAAGTTACACATGGCACCTTAAAAGGGTTTTTGGTAAAGGACATCATTTTGACAGCATTAAAGGAAAATGAATGTTCCTGTGTTTACTGTCTAAAATAGTACAAGGTATGTACAGTGGTGAAATTATAACAATGTAAGACCTATAATTAGGGCAAGTAATTATGTTGTTGACTTTCATGTATAGATATTGTCATGGATAGACACTGTATCATGTTTTCATGGCATTTCATTCGTGATCTTATAATGTAAATACCAATTTCAGTGAGTGATACAAAATTATGGAAAAAAATAGATTCTGTCTATACCAAGAGACTTCTCTAATAAACAAGATTAATACAGCATCAGAGAAAATCAAAAGCTAACCATTACATATTAAAGATACTTACTCAACATAGTAGCTGCCGTAAATGGGGTCATCGATTTTCTCCCAGCCGTATGGAAGCTCTGGAAAACACACACACACAACAATAATGAACGGATGCTTATTCACTGAACCTGAAACAGCGTATTGATTTTGCCTGAGAGAAATCACTTCTTCATAGTAGCATCTTAACATCTATAATTACCAGGATGTGATGGGCTAATAACAAAGAAAGTAGAGACAATTTTTAACCATGTTGGCCTGGGGGTAGTCTCACAGCTCTTATGAAACTTTGATGTGACACTTGTTTTGGTGAAAAGAGCAAATCATATTGACTGATTTAAAGAGGCTACTTCCCCTTTAATGCCATAGATCAAATGCTCAGAGAAACTTGCAAAATAACATAAAAGTTTGATAGATCTAGTGGCTGGGATGAAGTCAGTGAAATATTAATGCCCTACATCTTATCCACGCTGTAAATATTGTGTTTTTATGTGAGTACTTTGCATATATATCAGACTAAACTGGTACACAAGCCCAGAGGGTAGTTCACCTTCAAACAACACATAAAATACTTTGTGACTGTGCAAACTTAAAGGTGCACTATGTAACTTTTCCAGTAGAGGACTGCCACCTGTTTGTCTCTCTGGAGATGTCATTGCTTTTCCTGGAATGTTACTCAGAATAGCATTAAACCTATATATCTCCATGGAGACAAGAATGTGAAAACTCTTCCCTTTAATATGTATGTATGTATATGTATAAGATCTCCATGGGGACAAGCAGTTACAGAGTGCTCCTTTAATGGGGGAACATGGCAACAACTTATTCTATCAATTCTGAATAACACAGAATGCAAACCAAGGCCAAGGAGTAAAAATAGCCATTAATCATTTTTGCAAATTGATCAAATTGCTCTCATTTGGTAGCATGATGGTTCACAATCCTGGGACATTGATGCTGGCTGTGAGGTGAGTGAATCAAACATTTTCACTGGTACACTCTGAACCTTTTCCAAAATTGTTACAGAAATGGGACCAATATTTGTTGTATTATTTTCTATAGCAGTATTCATCCTTGCTCACAAACTGACCTTAAAGCAGTTTCAGCAAAAATACAAATCTGACTAAAAGACATTCATATTTTGTTTTATTAAATCTAAGCTCTATCACCCATTTTCCATAAATTGTACAATATCCACTCCAAGATTACTTCAGAAGTACACCTTCCAGCTCACATCCTTCTGGGCTTTGCAACAACTCACAAAGGTGAGAAGAAGATGCAGATTCTGTTGACTGTGATCAAAGAGCATCTTTCCATAAAATCCTGACACACATCAGTCAAAACTGGCATCTCTTTTTAACAGATTCACCTTCATCTTTCCTCTTCCCAGTGCCCCAAGCACTTCAACAGAGCACAGACATTTTAAAGTGTGCAATAGGAGTTCCCCATTTGCTTTTTAGATTATGAAAAATTACCATTTAAAGCCTATTCCCAAATGGAGACGGCAGTGTTTTAGCATAATAGCACGATCATTCAAACCTAAATTAGGAACAAAGTGTGAGAGGCCTCTGCTGAAATAGAATCCGAGTTAAACCCCAACAGAGCGATGGGACAGAGTGCTCCAGTATCAGACCAGCATGGATTATAGTGACAATGTCAAATTAAAGGAGACACAAGTGGCTCACAATAAAGACATGCTCTACACATAATGACCAGTGCCTATAAGCTAAGGGTTCACGTAAGTTGCTGTTTGTGTCAGTTTGCTGGTGTATTAGACCTCTTTTTATAAGTTCTAAATTTAGTTTTAGTTCTTTGAAGTTTGGGATTTTCCCAGTTAACACTTTGCCCAGGTTTGCCATTGTTTACCATCACTGTATTAGTCTGTTAACCCTCAAGATAGGGTTTTTTGATGTAGTCTATTTGGTATTGCCATGTGTAACTGGGATTCATTTTCTAAAATCTATTCTACTAAAACAGTAGATTTTACACAAATGTTCAAAAAAGGTCCTAATACAGAACTGAACAAATCATAAGATGTGATTAATATAATTGCAGATCTGGAGTTTGTCCATCTGTGCTAAGTTCTATTCGAGAAGTTGTGTTTCATTAGTCAATAAAACACACCATTGCCAAAACACCACAAGGAAAGGAGCCTTGAGTTTCAACTATTGAAAAGAGCCTGTCTTGTCAACTGATTAAAATTTAAGTTATGTGTCCTGTGGCAATGTGTGGTCATGACATCTCCATAAAGCACATGTGTATATCACATACTCTGTATTTAATTTCACACTATACTCTTTCTGCACATTCCCAACCAGTCTGTGCCCTCTGTGAAGGATGGCAATGTCATGGTACCAATGGTGATGCGATGTTTGACCCCTGCCCCCATCTCCTGAGAGAAACGTAATAATGCACCATTTCAAAATTCAGGAGTTTATGTGTTATTTTCTACCTGCACAGTGCATACACAAAAATACATTTCCCAACCAGTAAAAACAGATATGATGTATATGTATAAGGTTATTTGATTGATGAAAGAGTGTGCTGAGTGCAGTGACAGCCCTTGGGAGTAGCTTCTTAGACCCATCTCCTCTCATTAAATATAAAAGTGCATTTCATGTTCTCACCTTTGGCGGGCTACACGTTGTCTTTTACTCACGCGTCTCTTTCTCTATGCATTGGCGCACACACAGATGCACACTGGATCAAAGACTTGTCATCTATTTGAGCTAGTTTATAATGGAAAACTACTCTATTAAAATGTCCCAGAGGGAAGCAGAGGAGACACAGGGGTAAATCTGAAAAGATCCTTTAAAAGATGCTACATACAGTAACAAAATGTGCTACTTATGGCAACACAGCATATATTTTTTTCTCTCTCTCTCTCTCTTAAATGTGCCTCCATATAACTCGATCCACTCCATTTACTACACAAAAGTAGTAAATGTTCTCTTTCTCCATGTTCTCTTTCACTTCACCATAACTCTCTTTTTTGGCCATGGCACTGTCTTGGTCAGAATATTCCTTTAATATCCTTTTGCTGAAATAGTTTTACTTTTCTGAACACGCTATGCTATTACATCCTGTATATGTAAATTCAACACATTTTCATTTTTGATACTTAAAGGTGCACTGTGCAACTTTTCTGGTGTAAGGTCCATCAAATGCTTTAATCCATGGAGATGTTGTTGCTTTCTCATAAATGTTTCATAGTATGGTATTAAACCTTTCTATCTTCATAGAGACCAAAACTGATGGAGGCAGATCTGTGAACAGACAACCGCGCTCATAGTCAGAATGCCTAAATGCCTGTTTTTCAAGGTTTTTTTGAGCTATAAAACCACCTGTAATTGAATAAATGTAAGGTGATAGACCCTCCACAAGAAATATTATACAATGCACCTTTAATATACATTTACGTTAATGTTATCAAATACTCTCTTTAACAATATACTATTGTTACGGCTCACGGCCGTAACAACTATATAAAGAATGAAGGTAGGTTAACTTAAAATAATTTCCTCGTATTCAAAACCTATTATGAAAACAAATCAACTTTGTGTTTTGTAGCTACTTGTGAGTAAGCAAACGGTTTATTTTTTACTATTATTATTATTTTAAGAGTCTATTATCCACAGACAAATTGCTTTCACACTCACTCAGTGAAAAAATACTACTGTTGTTCATCACTGTGTTTTCAATTTGGCTGTCATGAGATACACACAGCTGGAGGTCCCTCTCACAAACTTTCAAAATAGATTTCAGCTACAGAAAGTAATTAATTTTGTGGGGTCTGACGGATCCTGACTGAGAACATTAGGAATTATTTTACATGTTGAGAAATAATACACTAAAAAGCACAAAATTATATGGAACATTTGAATAACTTGAGATGTCAAATTTATGGTCTTTTAAGGATTTATCTATTAATAATATAATCTTCTTACATGATACACCCTTGTCTTTTCTTCTGGGGATTGTGGCACTTCTGTTAGTTTACTGCATCTAGCCTCAGAAACTGCCTTATACTGGATTGGGACAGCGTGCTGTATGATTGTTATTCCTTTGGCAATTTCCCACAATTCCCAGGGCAATGGAGATATTTGAGGTTTTCAGCCCAGTCTCCCAGTGAAGTCTCGAGTGAAGGACCACTTGCTACCAGTAGGAGGCACCCTGGCATCTTTCCCACTACACTGAATGTCTCAATAAAAGTCCCTGATAGTGTCCTATTTTCCTTGTTGCCTTGTCCATCTCCTGCTTGTATTTCAGAAGGAAATGAAAGAAAAAGGCACAAAGATTGTTTACAATCTTAATCAGGGTTAAGGATAGATTTTAGATGATTGATCTTGCAATAGTTTACCCCCATATAAAAAGTCCTATTTTATTCTCTACTTTGACTTTTGGGCTGCAATCAGATGTTATTTGGTGCTTTTGTAGTTCAAATATTGAAGATAATTCTCTGTGTTTTGGTTACCAAAACCCCCTGGTCTACAATCTTTTCTCACACACCAACCAAATTGGCGTCTTTCACTGTATCCATAAAACTCATGACATCATTAATTTATCGACTGGTAAGATACAACTGGGGAAGACTGGTCAAGTTGTGATTGCCAGTCGGACTCTAAGACCACTACCCATCACTTACACAACACATGCAAACCTAGGCAACGTGAGTGAGGTGTCTTGCCAAAGGACACAATGGCATAGTACTGTGATGGAAATTTATATTGTGGAAACATTTCTCTCAACCTGTCTATGTGTAAATGAATGTGATTTCTACCTGAGACCAGACCAGTCATTAACATGCGTAAAAGCTCAGCAGACACAACTGTCTCCACCCTACAGGAAACTGTATTGTCTTAGCTGTCCTCAAATATATGTTAATTTAGCACCAGCCTCTGAAACAAGTCACTCTTTGATATGTATGTAACTTGTATTTCTGTATAAATACTCAGAGCTCAAATGCTCTAGAGCAGGGGTGGGCAAACTACGGCCTGGGGGCCGTATGCGGCCCTTTAAACCTTTTAATCCGGCCCACCGAACTGGAATAAATTACAATAATAAACCTTGTTGATGTTTT